GAATGCTCAGTGTACAGATGTAATTAATAAGCCTGACCAGAAAAATCAACACTGGATGTCCTTCCAACATGGCCCTAATGATATTTTTCCAGCTGAAGACAGCATCTCAAAGACTGCGCATCGTGCTTTCTGGAAGAAAACCAGAAGCTAGCTCGGGTTTGAACCATGAGAGAATTTTGCTGCAGCAGTCAGAGTGCCTTCACTCTATGGTGTTTGTATTCTCAGATATGAATGTAACTGTCCTTTCCTCCGACCCGAGTTCCTTTCCAAAGCAAAAGTTAATGTGCCAAGGAGTGATGAACATCCAGATCTTATTCTGAGAGGCAGCTGGGATGTGGCCAAGATGTCCATCTTAAAACAAGGACTGCAGGTGTCATCATGAAGAATGCTATTCTGATAAACTTGTCCTTCCCACCCAACCCCTGGGTTCAGTATGCAGGAATGTCCTTCTGAAGCTTTCTGAAAGTGCTGTACCTAATTGTCTGTCTTCACCTCTGCCTCTTGCTATGGCATCTGCTGCCTCCTGCATCAAGACAGACTTGAGAGGTAAAGACTGATTCTCATCACTTGGAGATAGGCACCTCCACCAGCCAAATCCATCCAGGGGATCAGGAGCCTCCCTTCAGAATTCTGTAGGCAAACCCAGCATCATCTCCCAAGATCCCTCTTTTGTCATGACATCTCAAGAGAAACTTTATTTTCCAAATTTGGGGCAGGGAAACTGTTTCTAGCAAGTTACTTATATTTTCTTGCAAACCAGTCTCTTGTGTGAGTTTTGCTCTGCCCCATCAACCTTCCAGGAGCCAGGAAAATGCAGCGTCCCTAAAACTGCTTGTAAAACATGGGTCACTCTGCATGTTTTATCTGCCTCTTTTTCTTCCTCAAAACCCTGTAGCTGTAAGTTCCAGAACTGAGCTGGGGGAGATCAAAAAGAGAAGTCCATTGGAATGTTTGGGTTTGCAGTCACATTGGACAAAAACCAGTTTTCTCCATTGTGAAAGTATCTAGCAACTTTAGAAGCTAGGAGGCAAACACTTTGCAACAGCTAAGCTTTTGGTCCAGTGGCTAAACCAGAAACCTGGAAAATACACTTCTTCGGGCAGAAATTACAAAAATTGGTACTCAGATTTCTGATGGAAAGAAATCACTCAGAACTGATTTTTCAGGCTGTATTTTTAGTCCCAAACTGAAAATTCCCAGCTCCTCAAAGAATATGGATATCATTGATGAAAGGGAGGAACATACAGAGTGGAGTTTGGGAAATTTTAGGGAAGCAGGACATTGCTCAAGACTTCTGTGTATCTGATTTGCAGTGATGCCTCTGGTAGGGGTCTTCCACCCTTCTCTCACATTAGAAATTTCTCCTTGGAGACTCTGGCTTTTATCCTTGTTACATTTAATTGCTTTCTCTCCCCTTCATTGTCATTTCTCATCCTGCCACATCTCAGCAGGATCTCCAAAATCCATCTTTTTTTCTGCTACATCCTGGGCAAACTATGGCTGGCACTGAATACTACACAGCCTGCTCTGTTTCTGGCTTCACCAATGATTCTCCAAAGAGAATCAGTGTTCAGGATCTTCCGCACATGCTCTACAGATGAGCATTACATTGTTCCTGCTCCCGGCTAGTCCAGCACACTCAGCAGTATTCTCATCTACAGGTGCTGAACACACCGAAAAGTTAAAACCTCTGTGCTGGGAGGCTGAATTGTGGGAATCTGGGGCATGTCATTCAGAAGGTATCCTCATGCAAAGAGCAGAATTAAGATTTATTATTTTTTTTTTCTAAAAACTAATCAACACACAATATACTGAATGAGAAGGAACACTACAGCCATGAATAATTTTTCCCTTCAGAGGAGGGACAAGGATACTCCACTGAATGCTCTTCTTTCAAATTCTGCTCCAGTGATTTGAAGGACAGGTATCCTTTCATGAAACAGTGATGGCCTTTTCCACATCACTGAGATACTGGCTGGACCAGGAGTCAAGGGAAATGATGGAGAATTAGGACCCTTGTTTCTGAAGGAGGAGAGTGGAAAGGTTCACAGTAGGTCCTTGGCATCAGCCTGAGCTATTTGATCCAGGACTGATCTCCAGCTTGTAAAGCGATGCGGGGGCACAGGCTGGGAACTGAGGTACTTTGAAGCTCGGAATTTATGTCCTTCCTCAGAGAAGTTTGACTGCCTGTTCACAAATTCGATAACAACTTGCGATGCAAAGGACATTATTCCAGTTACTGTAAGTGTTGGGGTCTGTGTTTCCCTTTACATGAATTGCAGCACATCTTTCTGCAAAGAGCAAATTGGGCTCCCCAGGTTTCCAGAACCTGTAAAAGAAAGTTCCTTTATTGGAAATGCACTAGCATGGAGGACAGTGGATGTGGAGTCACCTCAAACAGTTGTGGAAGAGAAAAGGAAAGTCACTGTGACAGAAATCAGGAGCCATAGTTTTGACTAGAAAATTATTTAAGTTTTCTGAATTGCAGAGCAGCTGAAGACAGAAATCCCCCTCTGACAAATACGTGCCTTACACAATGTACTGGTCACTTGGACTGAAGGCATGAATTACAGGGCTCTCCAAACTCCACCAGGATACTCACGTGGCTGTATTTTCATATGGAGTCTGATCCACCCACTGCCACTGCCCATTTTTGTAAGCAGATAAGCCTATGTAGTACTTTGTTTCATAGATGCTAGTAACTTTTTCTTTTGCCAAGTTGAAGAGGAACTCCTGGAAAAAAGCACAATGTCCATGAGGAGCAGGACTGAGCACAGGGAGACATCAGGAGTCCCTGTGGGGTGGGGCTGGTGGCAGAGGGGGGGCTGGTGCTGCAGAGGTGCAGACAGGACATTCCCCATTACCTGCAGGACAAGGAGAAGCTCTGAGTCCCCTCCAGGGCCCAGCACTGTGTCTCTGCCTGCTGGATCCATGTCTCAGCCCTGTGCACATACCTGTTCTTCCTTGCTGTTGATCACCACCAGCTGGGAGCCCATCCCAGTGCAGTTCTGCTCACTCTCAGCCCAGTTCATTGTGTCAGAGGACAGGAAATAGCATCTTCTTTGAAACCTTCTCCAGCCCTTTGGGCAGCACGTCCAGCCATCCACTGTGGGGGAAAAAAATCTTGCTTTTGAACAAGATGTGTTGTCCTTCATGAGTGTGAGTTCAGTGTAGGGTCTCAGGAGCAGGGTTTGAACCCTTTAGTTTGGACAGAGGTAAATGCTGTCTTTTGCTCTCCACAAGTAAAGCTGTCAGCAGCCTGGCAGGCCCCTGTCACAAGGCCCCTGCCTGAAGGGCCTCCTTCCCTTTCTCTGTCTGACCTGCCATGTCTGTGAAACCTCTCTTTGGAGAGAGACATGGTTTCTGCCTTACCCTTCTTGAGGAAGCAAGATGGGAAGTAGTTGGCTTGTGCTTTTCTAGAACCCTTCCATCAGAGAAGTGTTGTCCAAGCTCTCAGCTCATGCAGACTGAGAGACTTAACTGCAAACTGCTCTGACAGCCTTGCAGCCACCACAGGCAGTTCCTTACACAGACAGCTTATCCAAGAGATCTGCCTTATGCCCAGATATTCAAATGATGGATTAAGAAGCCACAGATATATTCTCACAAAACATGAGGCTGCATGAAGAGGGATCTTTGAGTTTTGGAACTTGCACTACCAGCATTCCAGCACTCCACATTACCATCACTTCATGTGTGACTGCAGCTCAGCTCCCTGGCTATTCTGAACTAAACATCATCCTCCCTCCTCTGTCCCTCACAGTGACCATCATTCTTGTGTGAACAGGCAGTGAGGCAGCACAGGGAGTGGAGCTGGATTGAACCAGCCAGTATAAAAGCACTTTCATCTAGGTGAGTAGACCAGACTTGCATTAGAAGGGTTGTGTGAGAGAAGAGTAGAAAGGTATGCAGGTATGGAATGACTCACTCTATTTCACTGGCCTGGAGCATGTTTTCATAGCATCCTAAGTAAAAATGTACAATACAGTGTCTTCTTCCCTCAATTCCCCAGATTCCTTACTAAAAAAATCCTCATGTGACTGACAACAATATTCCCCACCTCAAAGGTTGAGGCGAAACCAGACTAAATTTTATTCAAGTTCTTTGTGTTGCTTATGAGGATCTCAGCATTACTCACTTTTTTCTGAAGAACTGCTGGGGGCACAGAACCACTCAGTAGAGTTCTGGAGGAGAGTCTTGTACTGGCTATAGCTTCCATCAAGTAGAGCCACTGAGAAGAGAGGAGAGCAAAGGAAAGTGCTATTGACACCCTTTTTACCTCATGCACGAGGAACCTGTGCTATGCTTGACCTTCTCTTTTGATGCCCCAACAGAGACTCTGTTATGTTAACAAGCTATGATATCTGGGTTGAACAAAGAGGTGAGAAGAGCAGGGCACTTCTCCCACTGTCAGTCATTCCTTCCCTCAAAAGAGCTTCTCTCACTTCTGCTGGCTGAGAGATTCACGTTCCCAACTGAAAAAAAAAAATTAGAAATCCACTGAAGATGAAGCAAGAAAAGGGACAGAGAAGTCATGAGACAAGTTAGAAGAGTGGAGAGGCCTGTTTTGGTGAGTGGCATTTGCCTGCTGGCAGAGGGACTAGCATAGGGGTTTTCCACCTGACCAAAGGCAGTCACCCAAGCCCTTATCCCATGGGAATTAAGACACCCTGGAACCCACCAAGGCAGATGGTCACAAAGGCAGCTTTGATTGCAAGGGCAAAGATAAGGAAGACCCAGATGTTCAGCCAGGAGCAGCTTCTCTCTTCTGCTGGAGCTGAAAAACACAAAGCAAGAGTGAGCATGTCAGAGCCCAGAGTTGGGGGCAGCATAACCCAGGTGGCTCCATACCCCAATAGCCTACTGGTCCCTTGTTCCAAGGACTGGGGAGCCCCAAGGTGCTGGAAGCAGGTCCTGCGGCCTGTCACTAGCAGTGGCTCAGAGCCACAGAGTACGGTAACACAGGGGCTGCCCTGAGGCTGTTTTCTAATTTCCCTGTTTCTTACAAGACATGTCTGTATTTTTCCCAATCCTCACTCCCTTTTTGTCCTGTCAGACCTCCTTTCTCCTCAACACATCTTCCTTGTTGCCTTCCATTTTACCCCTGTGTGTCCTTGAATGCTCTTTCTAGACCTCCCTCCTCTTCCTCCCACTTTACAGCTTCTTTCTCTCACTAGCTGTATTTTGCCTACGTACTGTGAGCCCCTTTCTGCAATGGCACGGTCCCCCAAAGGAGTGACTGCCCAGTTCAGGGTGTGCACAGCCAGACAATCAGAAGGGATTGCTTCCACAGGGGGAAAAGGCACTTGGGAGCTCTTGGGAGAGCTCTGGCTGGGTTGTCCTTCAAGACACCAGAGATGGGAGCAGGGACTTGTGCTCGGCGTGACGCGGAGAGCATTACCGGGGGAATCACAGAAGGATGGCACCCCTCAGCCCCACTGTGTACAGACAAACCACTGAAAGGAAGAGCAGGGCACAGTCTGCCTGCATTTCCATTCCCCCTGGCTCTAGGAAGAAGCTCATTCTGCCAGCCTGGGCACTGCCCACTTCCCTCATCTGTTGCTTTCCTCTTGTCCTAAGCCCCATTCTCTGGCAAGAGGCTGGTGACCACACCAGGGCCAAGATCCATCCCAGCCCTGTCTTTTCCCCATCTCCTTTGGCAGGAGGACAGAAAGGAAGGAAGGTTTGGGGGTTGGTTACCTGCAGTTCCAGGACTGACTCTGCTTTGGTGATCCATCACCTCTACAAGAGGATCACTCTTCTCCAAGGGTCCCCGTTACCAGTGTGGCCACAAACAGCCTTCCTCCTGCACAGGCCACCTCCCACACTGGTGAGGGCCTGTCACAGGCTCTGATGTGATGTGCTGAAAACCTCATATCCTGGGTGTACCCCACAGCACATGGAGATTGGGGAATTTTCATCATTTCCCTGCCAGGATATTTCACAAGATGCTCATTGCAACAGAAACTCATTGAGACAAAGGAAAACAAATGAAGGGGAGCATCAGTGCAGCTCACACAGTCTCCCTTTGCACAGCCTCAGGCAGTTCCACAAGTCATACATGGCCATCCATCTCTGGTGCGTGCAGAGACGGTGTGTGTGCATGTAAAAATACATACCTGGGCAGGTATATTTGGCATTTCTTAGGAAAGGGCTAAACCCACTGAGCACAGCCTGGAAAGGAGAACCAAGAATCACCAGGAAAAAAAGCCAAAAACCAGGAAAGCATATCTATGACTCAGTCTGGGCCCTGCCCATGCCCTGTGCAGTGCCCATGTGCATCCTGAGCTCAGAAATCCAGAGCACAGCAGAGAACTTGCCAACACTGTTTTGATTGAATTCCATTTGAAAGGAGGCTGTGGCTTTGAGCAAAGGGGTTCCATATGACCTGGCATTGTGGGGCAGAAGGATCACTAGGCAGTGCCAAAGTCCTTGTATGTGACAAATTATGAAATCTCTCTTAGTTGTGGCTGCAAAAGCTGCAGACATATGTGGAACAGACTAAATGGGAACACAGCCTTGTTCTATCAGCTGGTTCCTCCCTTTGGAGTAGAATGCATGGGTGCAGTGTCACAGGAGTGGAAGAGCTCATGGCAAGAGCACAGCCATTTCAGCTGAAGCATCAGAAGATCAGGGCACAGAACTGCTTCCAGGTGAGGACAAGCCTGAGCTCCCTGTAGAAGACATCCTCTGCTTCTGTTACTTTGTGCACAACAGGCTGCAGGCTGGGTCAGAGCCTATGTTTCTAAGCATCTTTATGGAACTAATGTTCACAAGATCTCACCCCACATACATAAACATCCAAAAGACCCATGCAACCTCCAGTCTCCCACCAGCCTGCCAGGAAGTTCAGCTGCAAGAACACATCTCATTTGTGGAACACTGGTTCTCTGGTCCCACCCACTTCCTGCTGGAGATTCAGGGTTCTTGTGTATCCACACCTCTTCCAGCAGCAGTGAACCACAGGTGAAAGCACAGAGTCACATTGTCACACTGCAGAACTGTGGGCCTGTGCCTGCTGCACCCCTCAGTGCCTTGAGTGAGGTCACCCATGGCACTCAGCTGCCAGGGCGCTTCTTACAGACAGAGGTGGCCAAGTTGCAGAGCACCCTGAGCTCAATGGCCACTTCCTTCCCACTTCTCTCTCCTCTCTCTCTTAAACAGTTTTTGCTTCTTCCAAACTTTGTTTTCAGAGTGTTTCTTCTGTGCCTCAGATGCCTTTATCACTTGCTGCTGTCCAGCCCATCTGACCAACATGAAGTGGAATGGGTAAGGCTGGAGAGGGTTCCAAGTATAAAGAACAACAAATGTGCTCCATGTTCAGAAATTAACTTGGTGGAGGACGTTTTTTCTTTCTCAGTGGTTGATGACAGTTTCTCCATCAATGTGAATCTCTTGAGCAGTCCTGCTATCCAGTTTCCTTGAACTCCAATGGGTTTGAAGGGAAAGAGTTGTCTGCAACACTGACATAAAGGCAAGTAGCCTGGAAGGAAATACTAAGAAAGCACAAGGCAGAAAACACAGGAGAAGTGCTGGCAGCAGGGATAACACAGGAAGAGAGAATTAATCCCAGAGAAAGTTGCTCCCACAACTTGTGCCTGGTTGCTTTGCCCTCTCACAGCCAGAAAACCAGCCCCACAGCCCTGAAGCCCCAGCAGGGTGTCAGGGCAGCTCACAGGGGCATCTCTCAGGCTCTGCAACTTGGGCTGCAGTTTGTGAGCTTTGTTTTCAGCAGTAAAGTACAAACAATCCAGGAGGACACTGGAGGTTCCTTCTCATGGAGCTTTGTGAGACAGGTTATGCAGGACCCAAGGATGAGATGGACTCAGCTGGCTCTCACTCTCACCACTGAGGCTGAACTGTTGGGGATGTAGATGCTGAGGTTCACTTTCTCTGCAATGATTCTGGCCTGTCAGGATTCAGGATGTTGTCAATCCTTGCAGGGAATGATAAGCTCCAGGATCTGGGGGCTCAGAGGGACATGGAAACAGACTCTTCCAGATCCTGATTCATCCCAAACTCCTGGAATGAATCACCCTTGTTCCCCTCCTGCTCTGTTCCTAGAGGCAGCAATCCTGTATGAAATCCCACCTTTTTCCTACAGCCAAGGCAAGAGGGCTGTGTGCAGACCTGGCAAGGGGCTGCTGCTCACCACAGGCTGGTCCCGGGAGTGGACACCCAGCAGAGGGACCTGCTTGTCAGCTCTGTCCTTCAGGGACTGTGCACATCCAGCTGGATTCACCACAGCAGGCATAACCCTCCTGTGCTGGGATGGCTCTTGTCTGGAGGAGGGAAGATAAGAATTCTGCTCCTTGTCCTGCTTGTGTGCTAAGAGTTATTGCAGCGGGGAGGCCTAAAGGGGAGTCCTGCATGGTAAAAGCCAGAAACACGTGGGAATGTCGCTAAAGACCCTGGACACGGCAGGCCTTTCCACCCAGTGCCAAGCCCAGCAACTCAAAACCATTCCATGATTCTAGGACAAAAGCTTTCCAGCTCGGAGATGGGGGAAAAAAGAGATACAGAGACACAGCACAGAGCCTTTTTTCATTGGTGTGATATTGTATTTTCTGTTGTCTAAGTTTTCTGAATTTGTTCGGCAATACCAGTACAGCTAGAGGACATTTTTTTGTGTGACTCAACAAAAAGCAAACAGCTCTGCTCAAGGACACAAAGGACATTGAATCTCTGGATATGTGTCTTCCATTCCTGTGTCTTTCTCCTGGAGAAGTCCATTTCTTTTCAGCCGGAGGCTGCTGGACCCACTCAGAGTGCACACAAGAACACAGCACCAGCTTCAGTGAGCCTGAGCCTTCCTGTGTTTCCTGAGCCACCCCATGCACGGGGGATGCTGGACAAAGCTCATTTCACTTTCACACACATGGTCCCACCCCACACAGTGAAGCTGTATCAGGGCTCCCCACCCCTCCCCGCACAGCCAGCGCTGTTCCCAGCTCACTGCTCAGCTCCCAGCTTTACTCAGGACAGGGGTACTTCCATCACACAGTTACTGCTGCAGCTTCACAAATTCGATGATGCATGAAGTCTGATCTGACGTCATTCCAGTTGTTGAGAGATTTTTCAAGCACATGCATTACCGTGCAGTTCTCATCAAGGTAATCACTTGGTTCTCCGTGTCGCCAGAACCTGGGACAGAGACAGGCTTGTTACTCCCCAGTGTCCACCATAAAGCACTGCTGGAAAAGGCTGCAATGGGATGCAAGACTTGAAGGAAAGAGACAGAAATTTCCAATGCTGCTTCATGGACAGAAGTAGTGCTCTTCCACTCCATATTCCACTGGCCCCAGTGTCACGTGGAAACCTTCCTCTTCCCTACAGCACAACAGGTCCCTCCTCCATCCTGCTGGGGGGAACAGATCACCACCACTGACCCCAGGCACCTCACACCCAGCTGAGGCCCGTGTCAGCTTCCAGAGCAAGTTTGTTTTCCAGAAGAGGACACAGCAAGGACAGTCCTGGTGCTCTCTCCCTTAGCCCCATCTCTTTCCCTGCATTCCAGCACAAGCCATTTTGTGCATACAGGTGCAGTGAATGGAGGTCAGGCCAGGCTGGTAATCAGGCTTCTGAAAGGTCCCTGCTGCCAGCAAGTTGAAGTTTTTTCTATGCCTACAGCCTTGACTTCCATGTCACAGTTAGTTAATTCATAACCAATAATCAGCACAGACGGGGCCATGTGAACCTGGTGTACCACACAGCCCTCTCCTGCTGTATCCTTGATCTCTCACCAGGAACTCTGGTGACAACCCCCTCTCAAGCACCAGCTGAACCTCTCACACCTCTCCTATTTTAATTCCCTATCAGGAATTACATCAAACACTCTTCATCCAGAGATACTCACGCTGCTGTCACATTATATGGAGTCTTGTCCACCCACTGCCACTTGCCCACCTTCTCTGCGAACAGACCAATGTAGAAATTCTCTCTTCTAGGAGGTTGTTTTATTAGCATGGAGAGGAAAACCTGGCAATGAGAGAGACAGGGCATAATGTCAATGAGGAGCAGGTCTGAGCACAGGGAGACATCAGGAGTCCCTGTGGGGTGGGGCTGGTGGCAGAGGGGGCTGGTGCTGCAGAGGTGCAGACAGGACATTCCCCATTACCTGCAGGACAAGGAGGGACTCTGAGTCCCCTCCAGGGCCCAACACTGTGTCTCTGCCTGCTGGATCCCTGTCTCAGCCCTGTGCACGTACCTGTTCTTCCTTGCTGTTGATCACCACCAGCTGGGATCCCATCCCAGTGCAGTTCTGCTCACTCTCAGCCCAGTTCATTGTGTCAGAGGACAGGAAATAGCAGCTTCTTTGAAACCTTTTCCAGCCCTTTGGGCAGCACATCCAGCCTCGTGCTGTGCAGGGAGAGGACAGAGAGGTGAAGCCTACTAACAAGAGATGGTGATTGCAAAGATCCACAATATCCAGGGACCGTGCTCATGTCCTCCTCAGTGACTTTTCTTGACAGAAAGTGTCACTGTAGGACACGAAACGATTCACACTGACATGGCTCAATGTATGATATGAAAAAGATGTTATTTATTCTGTGACTTTAATATTTAAAGATTTTTGACAATGGCCAGGGATTACATAGGGTAACCTAACCAGTAATTTAACCAGTAACTTAACCAGTTAGGTTACCACTTTTCCAATCACAATAGTCGTGAGAAACTTCCATCAGAAGACGTTTCTGTAATAGAATATATAAACATCTATGTTTATAGTTCCTTTCCTGAGAAAGTGATTTTCAACTATGAAAACAAGATCAGAACGTTTAATTCTCAAAGCGACAAGAAAATGCTTGAAAAATCAGAATACTACAGACATTTCTTCCCATTGCTTTGGGGTATGAGAAGTCAGCTTTGTGTACCCAAAGCCATTNAGAGTTATTGCAGCGGGGAGGCCTAAAGGGGAGTCCTGCATGGTAAAAGCCAGAAACACGTGGGAATGTTGCTAAAGACCCTGGACATGGCAGGCCTTTCCACCCAGTGCCAAGCCCAGCAACTCAAAACCATTCCATGATTCTAGGACAAAAGCTTTCCAGCTCGGAGATGGGGGAAAAAAGAGATACAGAGACACATCACAGAGCCTTTTTTCATTGGTGTGATATTGTATTTTCTGTTGTCTAAGTTTTCTGAATTTGTTCGGCAATACCAGTACAGCTAGAGGACATTTTTTTGTGTGACTCAACAAAAAGCAAACAGCTCTGCTCAAGGACACAAAGGACATTGAATCTCTGGATATGTGTCTTCCATTCCTGTGTCTTTCTCCTGGAGAAGTTCATTTCTTTTCAGCCAGAGGCTGCTGGACCCACTCAGAGAGGACACAAGAACACAGCACCAGCTTCAGTGAGCCTGAGCCTTCCTGTGTTTCCTGAGCCACCCCATGCACGGGGGATGCTGGACAAAGCTCATTTCACTTTCACACACATGGTCCCACCCCACACAGTGAAGCTGTATCAGGGCTCCCCACCCCTCCCCGCACAGCCAGCGCTGTTCCCAGCTCACTGCTCAGCTCCCAGCTTTACTCAGGACAGGGGTACTTCCATCACACAGTTACTGCTGCAGCTTCACAAATTCGATGATGCATCAAGTCTGACATGACGTCATTCCAGTTGTTGAGAGATTTTTCAAGCACATGCATTACCGTGCAGTTCTCATCAAGGTATTCACTTGGTTCTCCGTGTCGCCAGAACCTGGGACAGAGACAGGCTTGTTACTCCCCAGTGTCCACCATAAAGCACTGCTGGAAAAGGCTGCAATGGGATGCAAGACTTGAAGGAAAGAGACAGAAATTTCCAATGCTGCTTCATGGACAGAAGCAGTGCTCTTCCACTCCATATTCCACTGGCACCAGTGTCACGTGGAAACCTGCCTCCTCCCTACAGCTTTCCAGCACAACAGGTCCCTCCTCCATCCTGCTGGGGGGAACAGATCACCACCACTGACCCCAGGCACCTCACACCCAGCTGAGGCCCGTGTCAGCTTCCAGAGCAAGTTTGTTTTCCAGAAGAGGACACAGCAAGGACAGTCCTGGTGCTCTCTCCCTTAGCCCCATCTCTTTCCCTGCATTCCAGCACAAGCCATTTTGTGCATACAGGTGCAGTGAATGGAGGTCAGGCCAGGCTGGTAATCAGGCTTCTGAAAGGTCCCTGCTGCCAGCAAGTTGAAGTTTTTTCTATGCCTACAGCCTTGACTTCCATGAAGTTTTTTCTATGCCTACAGCCTTGACTTCCATGTCACAGTTAGTTAATTCATAACCAATAATCAGCACAGACGGGGCCATGTGAACCTGGTGTACCACACAGCCCTCTCCTGCTGTATCCTTGATCTCTCACCAGGAACTCTGGTGACAACCCCCTCTCAAGCACCAGCTGAACCTCTCACACCTCTCCTATTTTAATTCCCTATCAGGAATTACATCAAACACTCTTCATCCAGAGATACTCACGCTGCTGTCACATTATATGGAGTCTTGTCCACCCACTGCCACTTGCCCACCTTCTCTGCGAACAGACCAATGTAGAAATTCTCTCTTCTAGGAGGTTGTTTTATTAGCATGGAGAGGAAAACCTGGCAATGAGAGAGACAGGGCATAATGTCAATGAGGAGCAGGTCTGAGCACAGGGAGACATCAGGAGTCCCTGTGGGGTGGGGCTGGTGGCAGAGGGGGCTGGTGCTGCAGAGGTGCAGACAGGACATTCCCCATTACCTGCAGGACAAGGAGGGACTCTGAGTCCCCTCCAGGGCCCAACACTGTGTCTCTGCCTGCTGGATCCCTGTCTCAGCCCTGTGCACGTACCTGTTCTTCCTTGCTGTTGATCACCACCAGCTGGGATCCCATCCCAGTGCAGTTCTGCTCACTCTCAGCCCAGTTCATTGTGTCAGAGGACAGGAAATAGCAGCTTCTTTGAAACCTTTTCCAGCCCTTTGGGCAGCACATCCAGCCTCGTGCTGTGCAGGGAGAGGACAGAGAGGTGAAGCCTACTAACAAGAGATGGTGATTGCAAAGATCCACAATATCCAGGGACCGTGCTCATGTCCTCCTCAGTGACTTTTCTTGACAGAAAGTGTCACTGTAGGACACGAAACGATTCACACTGACATGGCTCAATGTATGATATGAAAAAGATGTTATTTATTCTGTGACTTTAATATTTAAAGATTTTTGACAATGGCCAGGGATTACATAGGGTAACCTAACCAGTAATTTAACCAGTAACTTAACCAGTTAGGTTACCACTTTTCCAATCACAATAGTCGTGAGAAACTTCCATCAGAAGACGTTTCTGTAATAGAATATATAAACATCTATGTTTATAGTTCCTTTCCTGAGAAAGTGATTTTCAACTATGAAAACAAGATCAGAACGTTTAATTCTCAAAGCGACAAGAAAATGCTTGAAAAATCAGAATACTACAGACATTTCTTCCCATTGCTTTGGGGTATGAGAAGTCAGCTTTGTGTACCCAAAGCCATTACAAATCCTTGTAATGGGGTCACGGGTCTCGAGAAAGTTCTTTTGGTGATGTTCTTTGACTTGTCCTGCTACAGCCTCCTTGAGGCCTTAAGGCCAAGGAAGAGGGGACATTGCAAGTACTGACCTGTGCCTTGTGGCACCGTTGAGTTGCAATTCCACTCCGAGAACTGCTGCTGCAGGGCTGTGGGCTGGTCAGTGCTGTGGCAGAAGGGAACCACTGCAAAAGAAGAGGAAAGGCAGCAGGATTACCCCTTCCTCACAGCTCCTCACACAGCATCTCTGGCCCATCTCTGGACTCTCCTGCCACCACTTCCCCACCAAGCATTGTCCCAGCTGTCACCTCTCCTGGCCCAAACCAGTGGCACAGCTGCCTTCCCAGCCAGAAAGAGACCGTCTTCCAAGTCAGCAGAAGGACCCCTGGAAGCACATCCCACTGAGGACATGCCACACATGGCAGGATTGATCCCACCCAACTACAGCCACTCTGCCATGCACACAGCTGGAGCCCAGCTGCCAGTCTACAAAGCAGCATCTCATTGTCACCCTTTGTCTCTTCCTAAACTGCGCATCAACTGGCATTTGGAGGAGTCACCCATCAGCTGGGCCTGTTCCATCAGCAACACACAGTCCAGGTGAAGATAATCACATATAGTGGGAGCTGCTGAAACCAGGGTGGAGCATCAACTCCTAGGCCTTGCTAGCTCCCACTTTGTGGGGAATAATGCACTGTTGGTCACAGGCCACATCCACAGACCCAAGGACTTCCTAGTAAGTCAGACACTCAGGAGTATGGATTAGGAGCTGATCAGGGTGTGCTTAGTGATCCAGATGTCTATTTTCATCAATCATTTGATTTAGAAATATTTTGACTTAGAAGCAGAACAATTGTAGTGGCTTTGGTGCCGGATTAGTGAATTGCTGTAATGGAAATGCCTGGCTGACCACTCCCATTGCCAATAAAGGTCACCTTGTTGCTACACAAAGAGAAAAGATGTGAAGAGAGGTGACTTTTGGTTTAGATCAGCGGAGGGATTTGACTACTGTGGAAGTGTTCATTAGAGATCTTTCATTAGACCCTTTAGAGATCGATAAGGGTCAGTGTGTTCCTCAGTTAGCCACGAAACATCTGTTTGCTGAGAAACTCTGTTATGCCTTAGCCTTGCTGAGGAAGCAGGATAGGAAGTCATTGGCTCCCAGTCCTCTGGAAACCCTTCCATCAGAGAAGTGTTGTCCAAGCTCTGAGCTCATGCAGACTGAGAGACTTAACAGCAAACTGCTCTGACAGCCTTGCAGCCACCACAGGCAGTTCCTTACGCAGACATCCAAGAGCTCTGCCTTATGCCCAGAGATTCAAATGATGGATTCAAAGCTACGGATATCTGCTCACAAAGTTGGAAACTGCATGGAGAGGGAACTCTGACCTGTGTTTTGGTGAAGGGCATTTGCCTGCTGGCAGAGGGACTAGCATAGGGGTTTTCCACCTGACCAAAGGCAGTCACCCAAGCCCTTATCCCATGGGAATTAAGACACCCTGGAACCCACCAAGGCAGATGATCACAAATGCAGCTTTGATTGCAAGGGCAAAGATAAGGAATACCCAGATGTTCAGCCAGGAGCAGCTTCTCTCTTCTGCTGGGGCTGAAAAACACAAAGCAAGAGTGAGCATGTCAGAGCCCAGAGTTGGGGGCAGCATAACCCAGGTGGCTCCATACCCCAATAGCCTACTGGTCCCTTGTTCCAAGGACTGGGGAGCCCCAAGGTGCTGGAAGCAGGTCCTGCGGCCTGTCACTAGCAGTGGCTCAGAGCCACAGAGTACGGTAACACAGGGGCTGCCCTGAGGCTGTTTTCTTATTTCCCTGTTTCTTACAAGACATGTCTGTATTTTTCCCAATCCTCACTCCCTTTTTGTCCTGTCAGACCTCCTTTCTCCTCAACACATCTTTCTTGTTGCCTTCCATTTTACCCCTGTCGGTCCCTGAATGCTCTTTCTAGACCTCCCTCCTCTTCCTCTCTCTTTACAGCTTCTTTCTCTCACTAGCTGTATTTTGCCTGTGTACCGTGAGCCCCTTTCTGCAATGGCACGGTCCCCCAAAGGAGTGACTGCCCAGCTCAGGGTGTGCACAGCCAGACAATCAGAAGGGATTGCTTCCACAGGGGGAAAAGGCACTTGGGAGCTCTTGGGAGAGCTCTGGCTGGGTTGTCCTTCAAGACACCAGAGATGGGAGCAGGGACTTGTGCTCGGCGTGACGCGGAGAGCATTACCGGGGGAATTACAGAAGGATGGCACCCCTCAGCCCCACTGTGTACAGACAAACGACTGAAAGGAAGAGCAGGGAACAGTCTGCTTGCACTTCATTCCCCCTGGCTCTAGGAAGAAGCTCATTCTGCCAACCTGGGCACTGCCCACTTCCCTCATCTGTTGCTTTCCTCTTGTCCTAAGCCCCATTCTCTGGCAAGAGGCCGGTGACCACACCAGGGCCAAGATCCATCCCAGCCCTGTCTTTTCCCCATCTCCTTTGGCAGGAGGACAGAAAGGAAGGAAGGTTTGGGGGTTGGTTACCTGCAGTTCCAGGACTGACTCTGCTTTGGTGATCCATCACCTCTACAAGAGGATCACTCTTCTCCAAGGGTCCCCGTTACCAGTGTGGCCACAAACAACCTTCCTCCTGCACAGGCCACCTCCCACACTGGTGAGGGCCTGTCACAGGCTCTGATGTGATGTGCTGAAAACCTCATATCCTGGGTGTACCCCACAGCACATGGAGATTGGGGAATTTTCATCATTTCCCTGCCAGGATATTTCACAAGATGCTCATTGCAAAAGAAACTCATTGAGGCAAAGGAAAACAAATGAAGGGGAGCATCAGTGCAGCTCACACAGTCTCCCTTTGCACAGCCTCAGGCAGTTCCACAGGTCATACATGGCCTTCCATCTCTGGTGCGTGCAGAGATGGTGTGTGTATGTGAAAATACATACCTGGGCCGGTATATTTGGCATTTCTTAGGAAAGGGCTAAACCCACTGAGCACAGCCTGGAAAAGAGAACCAAGAATCACCAGGAAAAAAAGCCAAAAACCAGGAAAGCATATCTATGACTCAGTCTGGGCCCTGCCCATGCCCTGTGCAGTGCCCATGTGCATCCTGAGCCCAGAAATCCAGAGCACAACAGAGAACTTGCCAACACTGTTTTGATTGAATTCCATTTGAAAGGAGGCTGTGGCTTTGAGCAAAGGGGTTCCATATGACCTGGCATTGTGGGGCAGAAGGATCACTAGGCAGTGCCAAAGTCCTTGTACGTGACAGATTATGAAGTCTCTCTTGGTTGTGGCTGCAAAAGCTGCAGACATATGTGGAACAGGCTAAATGGGAACGCAGCCTTGTTCTATCAGCTGGTTCCTCCCTTTGGAGTAGAATGCATGGGTGCAGTGTCACAGGAGTGGAAGAGCTCATGGCAAGAGCACAGCCATTTCAGCTGAAGCATCAGAAGATCAGGGCACAGAACTGCTTCCAGGTGAGGACAAGCCTGAGCTCCCTGTAGAAGACATCCCCTGATTCTGTTACTTTGTGCACAACAGGCTGCAGGCTGGGTCAGAGCCTATGTTTCTAAGCATCTTTATGGAACTAATGTTCACAAGATCTCACCCCACATACATAAACATCCAAAAGACCCATGCAACCTCCAGTCTCCCACCAGCCTGCCAGGAAGTTCAGCTGCAAGAACACATCTCATTTGTGGAACACTGGTTCTCTGGTCCCACCCACTTCCTGCTGGAGATTCAGGGTTCTTGTGTATCCACACCTCTTCCAGCAGCAGTGAACCACAGGTGAAAGCACAGAGTCACATTGTCACACTGCAGAACTGTGGGCCTGTGCCTGCTGCACCCCTCAGTGCCTTGAGTGAGGTCACCCATGGCACTCAGCTGCCAGGGTGCTTCTAACAGACAGAGGTGGCCAAGTTGCAGAGCACCCTGAGCTCAATGGCCACTTCCTTCCCCCTTCTCTCTCCTCTCTCTTAAACAGTTCTTGCTTCTAAATTTTTTCTATGCCTCAGAAGCCTTCCCCTAATGTCCTGCTTACTGTTAAGCTGGTGGTCACGTTCTTCTTTAACAGCAGTGGTTTAGGGAAAAATGAAACTCAAACAGGTATTAAATTCACCCAGCTGTTTGCATTTACACTCCTATTTTATCACTTGCTTCTGGATCGTCCAGGCCACTGAAAGAGTGGTGAAGCATCTCAGCCTGAAAGAGGCTGTGAAGAGCACAGTGCTCATGTTCCTACCTCAGGACACTGAAGTGGCATCGTTGAAGGAATTAATTCTGCATGAGGTACACATCTGCACTGTGAAGCTGGAGAGGACTGGGACACCAGGAATAGGAAAGGAGGATATTTGCAGCACTGCACTTCACCAGTTCCTTGATTGCTGTCATCAGCAGAGACTTGTGGTGGTTTCTAAGAGCTGCCTGTGACACTTCCTCACATCTGCTGGTGTTATTGACTGTATCCTGTGGAATTAAGTCAAATGTAGTTGACAAGAGTCAATACTACTGCAGTGGAAATAGTCTTGTTGAGAGGGACTTCTTGCACAAGTCTGCAGAGATAAGACAAAGGATAATGGCTTTAAACTGACAGAGGGCAGGTTTTGATTAAATATTAGGAATGAATACATTACTATGGGATAGGTGAGGCACTGGAACCTGTTGCCCATAGGAGCCGTGTCCCATCCCTAAAATGTTCAAGGCCTGGCTAAATGGGGATATGAGCAATCTGGTCTAGTGGAAGGAGTCCCTGGCCATGACCTGGGGGGCTTGAAACTAGACTATCCTTTAAAGTCCCATCCAACCCAAAACCATTCAATTATTCATGGATTACACCTCCACAGTTTAGAGATGGAAAAGAAAAGAGATATGGACACAGAGCACAGGGCCTTTTTTCACTGGTGTGTTATTGTATTTTCTCTTGTCTAAGTTTTCATAATTTGCTCAGCAAAACCAGTACAGCTAGAGGACATTTTGTGTGTGACTCAACAAAAAGCAAACAGCTCTGCTCAAGGACACAAAGGACATTGAATCTCTGGATATGTGTCTTCCATTCCTGTGTCTTCCTCCTGGAGAAGTCCATCTCTTTTCAGCTAGCGGCTTCTGGACCCACTCAGAGAGGACACAAGAAGACAGCACCAGCTTCAGTGAGCCTGAGCCTTCCTGTGTTTCCTGAGCCACCCCATGCACGGGGGATGCTGGACAAAGCTCATTTCACTTTCACACACATGGTCCCACCCCACACAGTGAAGCTGTATCAGGGCTCCCCACCCCTCCCTGCACAGCCAGCGCTGTTCCCAGCTCACTGCTCAGCTCCCAGCTTTACTCAGGACAGGGGTACTTCCATCACACAGTTACTGCTGCAGCTTCACAAATTCGATGATACTTCAAACATCTGACGTCATTCCAGTTGTTGGGTAATTCTGTATCCCTATGGATTATAACGCAATTCTCATCAAGGGTATCACTTGGTTCACCTTTTCGCCAGAACCTGGGACAGAGACAGGCTTGTTACTCCCCAGTGTCCACCGTAAAGCACTGCTGGAAAAGGCCACAGTGGAATGCAAATCTTGAAAGGAAGAGACAGAAATTCCCAATGCTGCTTAATGGACAGAAGCAGTGCTCTTCCTCCCTTTCTGATATCTCATTGGCACCAGTTTCCCATGGACACCTACCTCCTTCCTATAGCCTTCCAGCATAACAGTGGCTGGGGAACTGATCACCACTGTTCATCCCATGTATGGCATGAACAGTGCTCACACCTAGCAGAGGGCCATGATGGCCTCCAGGGCAAGTTTGTGACATCTCCCTCTGTTGCACCAACAGGCACCTTCACATCTTCTCTACTTCTTTCCCTACCAGGAATTACACCAAATTACTTCATCCAGAGATACTCACGCTGCTGTCACATTATATGGAGTCTTGTCCACCCACTGCCACTTGCCCACCTTCTCTGCAAACAGACCAATGTAGAAATTGTCTGGTTTCGGTTCTTTAGATTGTCTTATCTGCTCAGAGAGAAAAACCTGGAAATCAGAGAGAGAGCGTAATGTCCATGAGGAGAAGGACTGAGCACAGGGAGACATCAGGAGTCCCTGTGGGGTGGGGCTGGTGGCAGAGGGGGCTGGTGCTGCAGAGGTGCAGACAGGACATTCCCCATTACCTGCAGGACAAGGAGGGACTCTGAGTCCCCTCCAGGACCCAGCACTGTGTCTCTGCCTGCTGGATCCCTGTCTCAGCCCTGTGCACATACCTGTTCTTCCTTGCTGTTGATCACCACCAGCTGGGAGCCCATCCCAGTGCAGTTCTGCTCACTCTCAGCCCAGTTCATTGTGTCAGAGGACAGGAAATAGCAGCTTCTTTGAAACCTTTTCCAGCCCTTTGGGCAGCACGTCCAGCCTCGTGCTGTGCAGGGAGAGGACAGAGAGGTGAAGCCTACTAACAAGAGATGGTGATTGCAAAGATCCACAATTTCCAGGGACCGTGCTCATGTCCTCCTTAGTGACTTTTCCTGACAGAAAGTGCTTGACAAATCAGGAATACTACAGACATTTCTTCCCATTGCTTTGGAGTATGACCAGTGAGTTTTGTGTACCCAAAGCCATGGTAATCCTTGTAATAGAAGTCCTTTCCTTTGTAATGGAAGAACTTTCAAGAAAGTTCTTTTGGTGATGTTCTTGACTTGTCCTGTGTGGTATTTTGACATTAATTGACACTTAGGGAAAGAAGAACCACCTACAGAAGTGATTTCTTTGAGAGAAGCTGCTGGGAGCTTCCTCTGTGCCTGAGACAGGCCAATAGCTGGCCAGTTCTGAGAACTGACAACATTTTGCACCATTCAAAATTAGGTCCGCCTCTGTGAATAACACCTTTTAAAAACCCAAGCCTGGGAACCTTTTGCTCTGTTCTGCTTCCAGTCTTGAACAGGTAACTGGGGGCCGACTCCCTGCCTGGCCTGTGCAGCCTGGCTGGGCCGGGCCAGGCTCTGCTGCAGTGCTGGCCCCTCAAGGGAAGCCCTCCGGGTCCTGTTCCCCAGGGGGGGTTGAGCCCCCACTTCCAATGGGGGCCGAGCCCTTCCCAGGGAGCCTGCTGAGCCCTTTCCAGCAGCACCAATGGGCCAGGCCAGTCCCCACCTCAGCTGGAATTCTGCTGCCATTGAGTTTTACCGGAAACTCTCGAGAACGGGAAGGGGAAGCCATAGGCCCGTGGCGTGCTGCCTCTGAGTGCTAGCCTGGCTGCTGAGATCCCAGTGCAGCCACCAAAAAGTCATCCAGCATAAACAGTTCTGGCCACTGTCCTGGCAGTGATCACATAATCATCCACAGGCCTGGGCAAGATATAACCCTTTCAATACACAGATGAGACCTGCAGACCTTGTTCGTCTCTCCAGGGAGAGAAAAGGACAGTGATGATGTGTAGAAAGACAACATGAAAACATCAAGGTCAGTAAAAGAAGGAGTCAAGCCTCAGATGGAAGAGGGATGAGGAGATCCCAAATGGGGCTGAAATATTATTTTGGTAGGGCCATGGAGATGGACAATGATGTACTGAATATCTCCTTTAATTCATGAGAGTATGGGGAGGTGAAGACTTCAAGCTGTAGATCTGAGCAGAGACATTGATCAAACGAAGCAGATGCTGGAGTAGCTGTGATCCCATGAGACACTTGAACAGAGAGATGAGAGTCATGGAGACACTTTGCCTCCAGGGAGAGAAAAAGAAAACTTCTGTTTCCAGAGATGATCACAGAGACAGATGAAGAGAACCTTTGATTTTGAAAAATTCATCCTTAAATTAATACCCCATGAGTTCATGGCCCATGGACACACCTCTAGGAGGGCTGTGAAAATGGAGGAATGTCACAATGACAGAATTTTTTCCGGGGCATCTGCTATTCATAGAAATTAAAAGCCAAGAAAAAACTGTTTCTTGTGGAGAAGTTTCCATGACATGACAGGAGAAAACTCCTCTCCCTACAAGGACTGAGGAATGACAATTATATAGTTGGTGCTGTTTTAACATCCCAGGTTTTGTCTCTACATTGTTAGTTGGGAAAAAAAAAGTTGGGCAGGGGTAGGAAAGGTGTTCTAAAGGTTTTAATCTGGTTTCTTATTCTTGTAATCCTGTTAATAAAGTTTCTTTATTGCTTTTAAGTTTTAGGCCTGTTTTGCCCTTCTCCTAATCCATATCACACAAAGATAAATGAGTATGTGCCCTGCTGTTTTTAGCCAGGGATAAAACCCACCACATCCTGGTACAGCCTCCTTGAGGCCTTAAGGCCAAGGAAGAGGGGACATTGCAAGTACTGACCTGTGCCTTGTGGCACCATTGAGTTGCAATTCCACTCCAAGAACTGCTGCTGCAGGGCTGTGGGCTGGTCAGTGCTGTGGCAGAAGGGAACCACTGCAAAGGGAGAGGAAAGGCAGCAGGATTACCCCTTCCTCACAGCTCCTCACACAGCATCTCTGGCCCATCTCTGGACTCTCCTGCCACCACTTCCCCACCAAGCATTGTCCCAGCTGTCACCTCTCCTGGCCCAAACCAGTGGCACAGCTGCCTTCCCAGCCAGAAAGAGACTGTCTTCCAAGTCAGCAGAAGGACCCCTGGAAGCACATCCCACTGAGGACATGCCACACATGGCAGGATTGATCCCACCCAACCACAGCCACTCTGCCATGCACACAGCTGGAGCCCAGCTGCCAGTCTACAAAGCAGCATCTCATTGTCACCCTCTGTCTCTTCCTAAACTGAGCATCAACTGGCATTTGGAGGAGTCACCCATCAGCTGGGCCTGTTCCATCAGCAACACACAGTCCAGGTGAAGGTAATCACATATAGTGGGAGCTGCTGAAACCAGGGTGGAGCATCAACTCCTAGGCCTTGCTAGCTCCCAGTTTGTGGGGAATAATGCACTGTTGGTCACAGGCCACATCCACAGACCCAAGGACTTCCTAGTAAGTCAGACACTCAGGAGTATGGATTAGGAGCTGATCAGGGTGTGCTTAGTGATCCAGATGTCTATTTTCATCAATCATTTGATTTAGAAATATTTTGACTTAGGAGCAGAACAATTGTAGTGGCCTTGGTGCCGGATTAGTGAATTGCTGTAATGGAAATGCCTGGCTGACCACTCCCATTGCCAATAAAGGTCACCTTGTTGCTACACAAAGAGAAAAGATGTGAAGAGAGGTGACTTTTGGTTTAGATCAGCTGAGGGATTTGACTACTGTGGAAGTGTTCATCCCTTTAGAGATCGATAAGGCTCAGTGTGTTCCTCAGTTAGCCACGAAACATCTGTTTGCTGAGAGACTCTGTTACGCCTTAGCCTTGCTGAGGAAGCAGGATAGGAAGTCATTGGCTCCCAGTCCTCTGGAAACCCTTCCATCAGAGAAGTGTTGTCCAAGCTCTGAGCTCATGCAGACTGAGAGACTTAACAGCAAACTGCTCTGACAGCCTTGCAGCCACCACAGGCAGTTCCTTACACAGACATCCAAGAGCTCTGCCTTATGCCCAGAGATTCAAATGATGGATTCAAAGCTACAGATATCTGCTCACAAAGTTGGAAACTGCATGGAGAGGGAACTCTGACCTGTGTTTTGGTGAAGGGCATTTGCCTGCTGGCAGAGGGACTAGCATAGGGGTTTTCCACCTGACCAAAGGCAGACACCGAAGCCCTCCTCCCATGGGAATTAAGACACCCTGGAACCCACCAAGGCAGATGGTCACAAATGCAGCTTTGATTGCAAGGGCAAAGGTGAGGAAGACCCAGATGTTCAGCCAGGAGCAGCTTCTCTCTTCTGCTGGGGCTGAAAAACACAAAGCAAGAGTGAGCATGTCAGAGCCCAGAGTTGGGGGCAGCATAACCCAGGTGGCTCCATACCCCAATAGCCTACTGGTCCCTTGTTCCAAGGACTGGGGAGCCCCACAGGTGCTGGAAGCAGGTCCTGCTCAGGGTGTGCACAGCCAGACAATCAGAAGGGATTGCTTCCACAGGGGGAAAAGGCACTTGGGAGCTCTTGGGAGAGCTCTGGCTGGGTTGTCCTTCAAGACACCAGAGATGGGAGCAGGGACTTGTGCTCGGCGTGACGCGGAGAGCATTACCGGGGGAATTACAGAAGGATGGCACCCCTCAGCCCCACTGTGTACAGACAAACGACTGAAAGGAAGAGCAGGGAACAGTCTGCTTGCACTTCATTCCCCCTGGCTCTAGGAAGAAGCTCATTCTGCCAACCTGGGCACTGCCCACTTCCCTCATCTGTTGCTTTCCTCTTGTCCTAAGCCCCATCCTCTGGCAGGAGGCCGGTGACCACACCAGGGCCAAGATCCATCCCAGCCCTGTCTTTCCCCCATCTCTTTTGGCAGGAGGACAGAAAGGAAGGAAGGTTTGGGGGTTGGTTACCTGCAGTTCCAGGACTGACTCTGCTTTGGTGATCCATCACCTCTACAAGAGGATCACT